AACTGTATCCCAAAAGCCAATTTATAAACCAGTGGCAAACTGTGCCCTGTGCAACAAAGCCCCCCCCCCCAAATCTTTTACTTAGGAAATGAATTTGGTACTTTAATTCTGCAGCATGCCTATTAGCATAAAGTAGGAGTGTCAAAACTATTTTCACCAAAGGCCACATCAGCCTAGTGGTTGCTGTCAAAGGGTCATTTGTAATTGTGAGACTGTATAAATGTAACTATGTTGTCCTGGTGCTAAAAGCCTTGACGGTTACATAAAATGGCATGGTGGGCCAGATTAGACCAGTATGACACATGTGGCATACACTTTCAGCAAAACAAATGCTATAACAAAACAAGACCAAACAAGACATGTTACCTACACCATCAAAGCCTTACTTACTACGTGGCAGCCTCACACAGAAATAGCCAGAGTTTACTAATTTATCATAGTGAGTTCTTGGACAGCAGGATTTTTCAGAGGAACACTTTGCAATGACATATTGTCAAAAAGCAAGCAACTCCAATAGCAAATCTCATAGTTGGCCAATCCTCCACACACCAAATCCTGCTTGTTATTACAGAAGCAGCACAAAAGCATTTAACTGCCACTCTCTTTTCTACATTAAGACAGAATGTGATTTTGTCTTCCTTTGCCACAGAAAGCAGATAAGCAACTTGAATTGTGACCTTGATGCAGTTAAGTTTTTCTATCCGTGCATAATATGAAAAATGACTAAAGAATATTGCTGACATGGAGGATCTCTGAATTGATGTTGGCAATATTCTGGTCATATTCATATACACTTCTCTCTCATCTTGGAAGCTAAGTAGGGTCAGAACTGGTTAGTTTTGGATGGGAAACTGCCAACATTGCAGGCTATACTTCAGAAGAAGGAACAGGCAAAACCACCTCTTAGTATTCCGTACCTAACCTTATGAACCTATGAGGTTGACATAAATCAAAAGGTACCTTAAAGGCAAATATACACATATGTAACAGAAAAGTAACATGAACCAAAAGTAATAGAACACTTTGCAGAATCTTAAGGTAAAGGTAAAGGTAGTCCCCTGACATTAAGTCCAGTCATGTCTGACTCTGGGGTGTGGTGCTCATCTCCATTTCTAAGCCGAAGAGCCAGCGTTGTCCGTAGACACCTCCAAGGTCATGTGGCCGGCATGACTGCATGGAGCGCCGTTACCTTCCCGCCGGAGCGGTACCTATTGATCTACTCACATTTGCTTGTTTTCGAACTGCTAGGTTGGCAGAAGCTAGGGCTGACAGCGGAAGCTCACGCCGCTCCCCGGAATCGAACCTGCGACCTTTCGATCAACAAGCTCAGCAGCTTTAACCCACTGTGCCACCGGGGGCTTCCTGCAGAATCTTAGTGCATACAAAATTCGATTGACATTATTTTTCTACATGCATACAGCAGCCAACAACAGACCAAAACTACTTTTAAAGATCCATTTCCCTTTTAGATTTATACCTTAACTAGGCATAAATAATCTTATTTAAGGGGAAAGCCATCAGGACAAGAGTGAATTAACCTGTATTTTAAAACTTTCTTATACCATAATGTATTTGAAATTAAAACCATTGTTGTTGTTGTTCATTCGTTCAGTCGTCTCCGACTCTTCGTGACCTCATGGACCAGCCCACGCCAGAGCTCCCTGTCGGCCGTTACCACCCCCAGCTCCCTCAAGTCAGTCCAGTCACTTCAAGGATGCCATCCATCCATCTTGCCCTTGGTCGGCCCCTCTTCCTTTTGCCTTCCACTTTCCCCAGCCATAATTGTCTTCTCTAGGCTTTCCTGTCTCCTCATGATGTGGCCAAAGTACTTCAACTTTGTCTCTAGTATCTTTCCCTCCAGTGAGCAGTCGGGCTTTATTTCCTGGAGGATGGACTGGTTGGAACTTCTCGCAGTCCAAGGCACTCTCAGAACTTTCCTCCAACACCACAGCTCAAAAGCATCTATCTTCCTTCGCTCAGCCTTCCCTAAGGTCCAGCTCTCACATCCGTAGGTTACTACAGGGAATACCATGGCTTTGACTAGGCGGATCTTTGTTGACAGTCTGATGTCTCTACTCTTTACTATTTTATCGAGACTGGACATTGCTCTCCTCCCAAGAAGTAAGCGTCTTCTGATTTCCTGGCTACAGTCTGCATCTGCAGTAATCTTTGCACCTAGAAATACAAAGTCTGTCACGGCCTCCACGGTTTCTCCCTCTATTTTCCAGTTGTCAATCATTCTTGTTGCCATAATCTTGGTTTTTTTGACGTTTAGCTGCAACCCGGCTTTTGCGCTTTCTTCTTTCTCCTTGATTAGAAGGCTCCTCAGCTCCTCCTCGCTTTCGGCCATCAGAGTGGTGTCATCTGCATATCTGAGGTTGTTAATGTTTCTTCCAGCAATTTTCACCCCAGCTTTGCATTCATCAAGCCCCGCACATCGCATGATGTGTTCTGCATACAAGTTAAAAAGGTTGGGTGAGAGTATGCAGCCTTGCCGTACCCTTTCCCAATCTTGAACCAGTCTGTTGTTCCGTGGTCAGTTCTTACTGTTGCTACTTGGTCCTTGTACAGATTCCTCAGGAGAGAGACAAGGTGGCTTGGAATGCCCCCACTAAGAACTTGCCACAACTTATTATGATCCACACAGTCAAAGGCTTTAGAATAGTCAATGAAGCAGAAGTAGATGTTTTTCTGAAACTCCCTGCCTTTCTCCATTATCCAGCAGATATTGGCAATTTGGTCTCTCGTTCCTCTACCTTAAATTTCAACCAGCCAACCAAAAACATGTAAAAATACGAAAACCATGCTATAGCAGCAAATCTTAAAACATACACATACACAAATGCAGGGCACAGCAGCAGCCTCCAACACGTTTTCAACTTAATAATTAAATAAATTAAATTGGTGGCGGGGGGGGGGGGGGGGGGGGGGGGAGTAAGGTGCTCAATTTGCAACCTTCCTAAATGAGCTCTATAAATCTTTAATTCAAGGGAAACAGTCATGCAGACAGCATTAACATTGTTCTTACAGCAGAAGACAAAGCCTAGCTATGAATCCTGTCAATAAGCCTGTTGGAGAAAAGGAGTGATAGTCTCTGGAGTAAAATAATCCACACGGCATCCTTGAGATCACTAAGAAATCAAATAGCACCTGGCAGGGCAAGCCAAAAGAAAATTGTCTGTGGCTGTCAGTACTACAGACCAACTCCAGAACTTAAGGAATGTCACCATGGACAATTAACATGAAATTTAGCATATAGTGGGCCCTTGGCATCTGCTGGGGATTGCTTCAGAACTACTCCCATTACAAATACCAAAATTAGTGGAGGCCCATTCCATTATATATAACAACATAGTAAGGTTATATAAAATGGCAAAATTAAGCTTTGATTCAGATTTTTTTTTGTTTTGCTTTGGATTTTTTTTCAAGCTGTAGATTGTTGAATCTATGGATGAAAAATCCATGGATACAGAGCACCCAATATAAGTATAGAAACCAAACCTCAAAAAGATGGAGGCTGCTGCACACTTCCATGGGAGACTATAAAATGTACAGACATGCTTTTGCAGTGCAGAAGCATGCAAAGAACATATATACAGAATCACTCAAGCTGGAGGAAATCGCTGCATCAATGAGTAAAACGAAAGCACATAACATGAACCAGAAAGCTGTCATGTAGTGGCTGATGTAAGATGACTGACTTCAGAAAAGAAAAGCTTTCTTAAAAGCAAAGCCACCCATACAAAAGAGATGATCTCACATGTAAGAGCTGATAATGATGCAGCCACACACACAAAGGTAGTTGATATTTTCAATTACATCTTATGTGATCCAGCTTGAACATGAACTTGCTAGTGAAACAGAACAGGAGATAAAAACTAATAGGTCATAGGCATATATCAAACATCAGCACTAGACAGTAAGCCAAGAAAACATACTTGAAAGACACACATTTCTTAACCCATATCTTGGGTTTTAAAAATGAAAGACGTTCTGGAAATTACTTTTTTTTACCATTGCCTCCCTGGCTCTTTATAAAATTGAGGCTGAGATCCATAGAAAAGAAGTAATTTATTGCTGAAGTCCTTTTGCAGTTTATAAGCTCAATCTGTATTTCTGTACTTCATATTTAAAATTTCAGCCCAGAAATCGACATTGAAAACACTGAAAATAACCAACATGTCTCACTTCAATTTGCTTAATCTTTTCCAAATTAAACAGCAGCATGTGCACACAATGACTACAAGATATAACACAATGCAAAGCACAGAAAACAAAAAAGTTTTAAATACACAAACGGAAGAATACAGATTTGTTATTAATAACCATTTCATTTATGTTCTATTTTTCCCCAAAAAACTGAGACTCAAAATTGTTTACAAATCAAAGCAAATGCAGCATGTGACATGATTAAAATGGTAGTCTTCTGTTTAGTTAAAACTGAGGTTTAACAACTGAATGCATTATTAATTGAGAGAATTACAAACCAATTGCAAATATTGTTGGGGTTTTTTGTATTATTGCTACTACCATCTTTTTTACAAGAGTTAGGTAGAATTGATATATATCAAAGGACTTGTTAAAAGCTACCCATACAAAGGAGATGATCTCATATGTAACAGCTGATAATGATGCAGCCACACCACACAAAAAAGGTAACAGAGAGCATTTCTTATTCCAGTTCCACATAACTTATCTACTGTAGGTAATATCCTTGAGAATTTCTAGTGGGCTTTTTTAGAAGACTTATGTTCTGGCTATGGGATTTGAAAAGCAATAATACACTGAGGATTGTATTCAAAAATAACTCTTTGAAACTCTAAGCTATGTATATGCCCTAATATCTCAAATTTTCACTGACATAAGAAATTGCTATGAGATAATATTACAAATCTGGGAAATCTATAGTAGATTTCTCTCTAGGCTGATCATGCCTAGGAAATGATTCCATCACCTCCTGGAAATAAACGATGCTTTGATTTTTAAAGGTCTATTCTTACCACAATCATTTCAGAAGGCTCCAATACAATACATTCACAACCTCGCTTTCCTCCAGATTGCTTGCCAAAACTGGGGAGAAAAAAATAATTAAGAAACTGTTAGTTTGCATTAATAATGAGCACAAACAGAATAAAATTTAGTGATAGTGACTACTATTTCACTGTGATAGAGTAACTTTTAATCATATTTGGTGTGACAATGTCAGACAATGTCAAAGGAAACACAATCTTTTGATGAAGCGTTATACCATAAGTACAACAAAGCATCAGGAGATATTACATAATATTATTTATTTACAGCATATATTGGTCATCTTCCTGCCCATAAGGATCCCAAAAGTTATGTACATTTTGTGTGAGTGTCTCTCTGTGGTCTTAATTTAAAACAAGTTTAAAACATTTTAAAATGCAAATTTAAAAGTAATATTATTAGCTTAGAGCTGAGATCAAATCCCAAACCTCAGATAACCTTCCTTCCAGCAGTGTTAGGTAAATATTTTCAACCAAAATAAACCCCTGATTATGAAAACAAAATTTTCAAACCATGTCAGTCTTTTGCAAAATCCTGGAACACTTTAAAGACTAACTATGGTATAAGTGAGTGTGCTCCACGGAGCTTCCTCCCCTCCTCCCACTAACGTTTCACCTTTTCTGCTCCTCCCCTCCACCCACCTCCCTTTGCTGCCAAAAGTCTTTTTCCTCCCTTCCCCCACCCCAAAAGTCTTTTTTCCTTGCTTCCCTTACCCCCAAAAGCCCTTTTCCCCACCTCCCTTGCTCCCAAAAGCCTTTTTTCCTTGACTCCCAGGCCCTTTTCCCCTAGACTTGCTTGCTTCCAAACCCTTTGATTATTTTTTTATGCATGGCAGAAGGGAGTTGAACTGGATGCCCCCTGGGGTTTCTGTTATCATTATCATTATTATTACAAAGATTGGGTAGCCATCTGTTGGGGGTGCTTTGATTGTGATTCTCCTGCATGGCATAAGAGAATTGGACTGGATAGCCCCTGGGTTTGCTCTTCTTCCTCCAACTCCTCCTCCTCCTTTTCTTCAGCTTCTTTTTACAAAGGCCGAGCGGCTATATGTTAGGGGTGCTTTTCCTGCATGGCAGAAGAGGGTTGGAATACATGGCCCCAGGGTCTTCCACTGAAATATTGTTAAGTGTGTGTGTTGGTCAAAAGGTTTGCCCATGCCCATGCTGTATACCCCTAATATATAGTATAATACATAATATATTAACTCTTCTTAGGGCTCCAGGAAAAATCTTTGCTTCAAAAAGAGTTCTGCAGCTGGAAAAAAAATTCAGAATCCCTGGTATAAGCTACCATGAAGTACCTCAGACCCATGAATGTTGATCCTGAGCTGTAGATATCATCCAGGGAAAACGAGTAAGTAGTGAGGTCACACAGTGTTAAAAATATCATTAGCACAGCCCCAGGGTGTACAATACAATTGTGATGATAACAGAAATATACTGGCATTAGATAAACTTACTAATTCAGGTACAGTAATTTTAAAAAGAACTTGTCTCAATTCAAGATGCGTGAGACAGAACTGAAAGTCTCGATGAAATTCTAATACAATTTCTTATGTGTGTCTTTCAGCTCTCAACAATGGCCACTTGAGGTCAGTTACCGAGTCCATGAAATTGCATTTAGTTTTATCACGCCTGACCCAAGGGAGAAAAAGACTCACAGCTTTGTACATGATGGAAGAGCGTGAAATACAAAAGAGAACAAGAAAGCTTCAAAGGCATATATTTATGTATGAAACATTAGGTATTTTGATTACAATGCTCACTTCCTAACTTTCTCATGATTTAATAAAAGGAAAATATCCAATTGATCCCTTTGAAGTCTTAAGAACATGCTAGTGTGAAAGTTCTATCACTCTTGGGCATATCACATGAATTCATACAATCTATTTTTCACATTTTATGAACAATTCTTGTATTTGAATTATAAAAGAGCTCTATTTATCTATCTTTGGAAAAAGTTATCTCTAACATTTCAATCTAAAATAATAACAAAAGACATGAGATCAAAATGTCAATGCTGAAAAACAATATTTTTAAAAAAAACATAAAATACATATATGATCTGATAAAAAATAGATATTTTATGAAGCCATTATTTTAAAAGTCTCAGTCTTCAAAGTGATACTAAGTTTCAATACTAAAAGTCATCATGAAAGAATTATGATCAGTAGGAGTTAGGAGCATCATAAGTACAACTGTCAAATTTATACTTCAATAATACATCATAGAAAACAATATTTAAATGTATTTATCATAAATTTACAAATATAACTAAATGTTCCTTTTTGTAGTGAAATTCTGGAACTTTTACTTAAATTGAAATAACTGCATCCACAAAACTTAGATGATCATCATCTAAATGTTACACCAGTAAAATAAAAATTTCCAACTCCATGTCCATGCCTTCTAGTTAAAATATAATGTAAGAACTTGAGAGATAATTACTTTCTGTTTTACAGATTAGTTGCGGGTATGTGAATTAATTCAGTTCATATTAATAAACAAACAAAACTAACTTCTCTGCAATTCCTGCTGAAGACATAAACAGGCATGATGAAGTACATGATACCCCTAGCAAACAATTCATAAACCAGCCTACAGAGGCTAAAGAAAAGAACAGGAAGACACAGAGAAAAACTGGCACTCACTGTAAATTCTTTCTAATAAATCCCTCTCCCTACGTACACACATCTTGAATCTTAATATTTGGGTTGGAAAGCATGATCTCCATCTTAACACTGACAGGGAGAGTGCGTCCGCCTTGGTGCTTCTAGCTCTCAGTGGTGTTTGATTCTATCAACCACAGTATCCTTTTGGGAAGTTTGGCACTCTGCTGCAGTAGTTCTGTTCATACCTCTCAGGCAGTTTCCAGGTGGTGGTGCTTGGGGATAGCTGCTCCTCAAAAAAGGAGCAGTTATATATCATCCCACAATTCCTAATAGTTTCTAACATTTACATGAAGAATGGGGCAGGATGCTATCAGTATTATTTATTTATTTATTATTTATAGATGTCCGAACGCATCTGCCTCTACGTCCCACCTCGTAACTTAAGATCATCCGGGGAGGCCCTGCTCTCGCTCTCACCAACATCGCAAACGCGGCTGGCGGGGACGAGAGACAGGGCCTTCTCGGCTGTAGCCCCCCGCCTGTGGAATTCGCTTCCAAATGAAATACGATCGACTCCATCCCTCCTTACGTTCAGGAAGAAATTAAAATCTTGGTTTTGGGACCAGGCTTTCGGACAATAAACATAAAGCAGCACTTTGACTGGAAATAGACTGGCAAGCCGATATGTATGAGGATACGGTTTTATTGTTCTATCAGTGGGCTTGTGGACTGTGTATTGTTTTAATGACTGTTTTAATGACTGTTATGATAATTTGGTTAATTAATTGCTATTGTTTTAACTCTGTATGTATTTATGGTTTTATACTGTGTTATTGATTGTGGCATCAAATTGTTGCCTTTTGTTAGCCACACTGAGTCATCCCCCCCCACTTCCCGGGGGTTGAGAAGAGCAGGGTAAAAATGCTATAAATAAAATAAGTAAGAAATAAATCTATACTACAGTTACTCACTGACTGTCAATTAGTTTCCGAGCCGCGGTGGTGTAATGGGTTAAACCTTTGTGCCAGGTGGTCTGCTGACCTGAAAGTTGCTGGACTGAATCCACGAGATGGGGTGAGCTACCATCTGTCAGCTCTAGCTTGAAGGGACATGAGAAAAACCTCCCAGAAGGATGGTAACATATCCGGGCGTCCCGTGGGCAACGTCTTTGTAGATGGTCAATTCTCTCACACCAAAAGTGACTTGCAATTTTACATGATCATCATCATCATCATCATCATCATCATCATCATCATCATCATCCCCTACCTTTGCATTATCTTCCTTGAATAATTATGTGAATCTTTACTATTTTCTACTAGTAGTATGGTGTGATCTGCATATTTTAAGTTGTTTGTGTTGTTTCTTCCCATTTTAATGCTTCCTTCCTTCAAATGTAATACTGCATTATGTATTATATGTTTAGCATACAAGTTAAACAGATACGGTGATAAAATGCAGTCTTGTCTGATCCCATTCCATTTCACTGTCTTAAGTGGCTTCTTATCCTGTATACTGGTTACACACCAGGAGAGGTTACACAACAATCAATTGTTGTGGGAAACCCATTTTTTAAGAGCAATACCTGTCTTTCATGATCTATAAAGACAAAAACTTTGCTATAATCTATAAAAGAAATAAAGGAAGGCTATGGTGGTACACGCTCTGGTCACATCCCGCCTTGACTACTGCAACGCTCTCTACGTGGGGCTGCCCTTAAAGACGGCCCGGAAGCTTCAGCTAGTCCAGCGCGCGGCAGCCATGTTACTAACAGGAGCGGGACGCAGGGAGCATACAACGCCCTTGCTGTTCCAGCTCCACTGGCTGCCGATTTGCTACCGGGCCCAATTTAAGGTGCTGGTGTTATCCTACAAAGCCCTAAACGGTTCCGGCCCAAAATACCTTTCGGACCGCATCTTGGCCTATGAGCCCACGGGGACCTTGAGATCGTCTGGGGAGGCCCTTCTCTCGATCCGCCTGCTTCACAGGCACGTCTGGCGGGGACGAGAGAAAGGGCCTTCTCGGTGGTGGCCCCCCGGCTGTGGAACGACCTCCCTGCTGACATCAGAGAGGCGCCTTCCCTTCTGTCCTTCCGAAAGAGCCTGAAGATCTGGCTATTTGAGAAGGCATTCAGCTGAGCGCTACGGCAACTGGTAATTGACAACTGGAACGGAATACGGATTACGATATTGGTTATGATTCTATGATGTGACGGAGCGGATTATTTAGTGTAACTAGATTATAGTGTATTATTGTTGTATTGATTTCCTGTTTTGCCCTTTTGTAAACTGTTTTTATATGTTGTGCACCGCCGCGAGTCGCCCTAGGGCTGAGAGCGGCGGTCAATAAATGCAGTAAATAAATAAATAAATAAATTTGGAAAGAATTTTTTTTGTTATATTAAGCAAATTCCAGGATTTAATGCAGTGCTGTGGACTCACTCCATGTTCTGCCATAAGGGGAAAATGTTCAGAATACTCTTCCACTGAACTTTATGAAATTGCTTCTAAATATGTACAGGCTGAACCAGTGCTTGGCAGCTATGAACCAGCTATGATGGTCTGGATGAGGGTGAACAAACAAGACAGAGGTACTCCTGGTTAGTCGCAAGGCCGAACAGGGTATAGGGTTACACCCTTTGTTGGACAGGGTTACACTACCCGTGAAGACACAGATTCACAGCTTGGGAGTTCTCTTGGAATCATCACTGAGACTGGAATCCCAGGTTTCAGCAGTGGTCAGGGGAGCACAATTAAAACTATGCGCCAGCTGCGCCCATACCTTGGGAAGTCAGACTTGGCCACGGTGGTCCACGCTCTGGTTACATCCCAAATAGATTACTGCAACATGCTCTACGTGGGGTTGCCTTTGAAGACTGTTTGGAAGCTCCAAGTGGTATAACGGGTGGCAGCCAGATTGCTCACCAGAGCAGCGTACAGGGAGCATACAACCCCGTTACATCAGCTCCACTGGCTGCCAGTCTGCTACTGAGCACAAATCAAAGTGCTGGCTTTAGCCTATAAAGCACTAAATGCTTCTGGCCCAGTGTACCTGTCCGAATGTACCTCCCCCATGAACCATCTTGGAGATTAAGATTGTCCGGGGAGGCCCTGCTCTTGGTCCCATCTCCTTCGAAGGCGCTACTGGTGGATGGCGTGATTTTAATATGGAATGTAATGTTTTTAAATGTATAATATGTTTTAATTTTAATCTAATTTAATCTTAATTGTTTGGAATTGCATGTGTTTTAAGGCATATAATAATTGTCTCTATTTAAGCTGCCTTAAGTCCCCTTCAGGGTAAAGAAAGGTGGGGTATAGAGTAAATATATAAATACCTGAATGGAACCAAAAATGCAATCATGATTTTACTTCATATCCCTGTCTTGCTTACTTTTTCACCTTAATAATAAAAAATTGTATACCATTCCTCTTTCTTTAGTTTACTGATTTCCACATTTCTTAACTAGCTTTACTATTCATATAATGTCAAGAGAGCTGACAAAAAGAAAAACATACACAAGGAAATTCCAGAACAATTCTCACATGCGACTGAAAATGTTGCTCTTAACAATAAATTGCACCCAGCAGTATATAAAGTGTGAAAATCGTGCTAACTTGAATATCAGCTCGGTGCTGCGATTCTGCGCACCACTTTGCGGATAAAGTCGCTCAGATACGCCTTGAGTTAGTTACCAGCTTAAATACAGTACCAGAGGAGGTGACCGAGGCATCTGCTTGTCCGGTTTTGTGGGATTCTTTCCAGCTGGTTCATCCTGATGATGTGGAGGGGGGGATTCTTGGGGCTGTGAGGGTGACCACGTCGGCTCTGGACTCTTGCCCTTCTTGGCTAATTAAATCGGCTAGAGGTGGGTTGCTTGATTGGTTTGTGCTGATCATTAATGCATCCACGGTCTTGAGCAACTACAGACCAATCTCCAACCTCCCTTTCTTGGGCAAGGTGCTGGAGCGGGTAGTCACTTCTCTGCTCCAGCAATTCCTAGATGACCGACTATCTGGACCAGTCACAATCTGGCTTCAGACCTGGTCACGGCACCGAGACGGCTTTGGTCGCCTTGGTGGATGACTCCATAGGGAGCTGGACAGGGGGAGTGTGACCCTGCTGGTTCTCTTGGACATCTCAGCGGCTTTTGATACCATCGACCATGGTATCCTTCTGGGACGACTCTCCGGGATGGGCCTTGGGGGCACGGCTTTGTTGTGGCTCCAGTCCTTCCTGGAGGGTCGTTCCCAGATGGTGAAGCTGGGAGACACCTGCTCAGACCCCTGGCCTTTGACCTGTGGGGTCCCGCAAGGTTCCATTCTGTCCCCCATGCTTTTTAATATCTAATGAAACTGCTGGGAGAGGTCATCCAGAGTTTCGGAGTTGGGTGCCATCTCTATGCAGATGACACGCAACTCTACTACTCTTTTCCACCTAACTCCAAGGTAGTGTTGGGGTAGTGTTGGTGTGTGAACCTGAACCTGATTCTCTGATTGTATTTCCTGATGCCAATGAAGATGGTGATTCTGAGGGCAATGTAGAAGATGACAATTTGTGTAGTGAAACTCCTGCAGCCTTGGAAATGGAAGTCCAAATTCCCATGACAATATTTCAGAGCCAAGCGGTGAACTTTCACTCCCTTTTCCTCCCAGTCTTAGCTCTCCAGAGAATCTGACACCTGGGCTCTCTAATGAGGATAGGAGAGGGCAGATTTGGCAGAGCAGGGGAGAATCTCAAAGTTTACGAAGGTCAGCTAGACTGAGAGAAATGCAAACAAAGCCTGCAGGCGTGTCACGTAATAGATTTCTCGGCCTTAAGTACCTCTCGCCTGGATGCATCTTCAGACCAGGCATCGTTCCAGATTCAAGCATCATCTTTGGCAGGTCTCCTGATTCCAGTGGCCTTATTCCTAAGAGGCTTCCTAGTTGCTTCAAGTACAGTTAGTGGATTGCTAACAGGTTCCAGGATTTAGCAGTGTTACTGTGGGTTTCTGATCTTGTTCATGGACATTTCTTGTTGCTGATTTTTACTGTGGCTTTTTACCTTGCATGTTTCCTCTATTTTTGTACTCATCTTTCTTCAATAAAAAGGATTGTTTTTCCTGAAGTCAAGTGTGATGGATTGTTGTCTGAGGGTCCAGTTTCCTGCTCTGGGTTGCAACAGGTAGCACCTCGGGTGCTGGATGAGTGCCTGGCCGCTGTGGCTGTCTGGATGAGGAGGAACAAGCTGAGGATCAATCCTGACAAGACAGAGGTCCTCCTGGTCAATCGTAAGCCGGATCGGGGTATAGGGTGGCAACCTGTGCTGGATGGGGTTGCACTCCCCCTGAAATCACAGGTCCGCAGTTTGGGTGTCCTCCTGGACTCATCACTTACGCTTGAAGCTCAGGTGGCTGGGAGGGCTTTCGCACAATTAAGACTCTTGCGTCAGCTGCGACCATACCTCGTGAAGTCAGATCTGGCCAGGGTGGTCCATGCCTTAGTCACCTCCAGATTGGATTACTGTAATGCACTCTACGTGGGGCTGCCCTTGAAGATGGCCCGGAAATTCCAATTGGTACAACAGGCGGCAGCCAGTTTACTAACTGGTGCGACTTACAGGGAGCGGTCAACCCCCCTGTTTAAGGAGCTACACTGGCTGCCATTCATTTTCCAGTCCCAATTCAAGGTGCAGGTTCTTACGTACAAAGCCCTGAACGGTCTGGGACCCGCCTACCTGTGTGACCGCATTTCTGTGTACAAACCCACACGGTCTCTTCGTTCATCTGAAGAGGCTCTTGCTCCCGCCTCCAACGCAGGCATGATTGGTGGGGACGAGGGAGAGGGCCTTCTCGGCGGTGGCCCCTCAACTCTGGAACTCACTTCCCAGGGATATCAGGCATGCCCCAACATTGGCAGTCTCTAGGAGGAACCTAAAAACATGGCTGTTCCGGTGTGCCTTTCCAGAATAAGGAAATAATTCCCAGCAAAATGTTCTCAAATGCACTTTAACTATCCGCTTGGATTGCGCTCCCCTCACTTCTTTAAAATCCTCCTATAAGATATATCCTGCCTTGTTCATGCCCAGTGTTTATTTTTAAACTATTACATCTGGCCTGGCCATAGGTTTTTAAATCCTTGCATGTTAATGTTTATATGTGATTTATTTAACTGTATTGTTATTTTTTGTTTATTGCTTTCTTGTTTATTGATGTGTTGTTGGGCTTGGCCTCATGTAAGCCACTCAGAGTCCCTTGGGGAGAGGGAGGTGGAGTATAAATAAAGTTTTATTTATCATCATCATCATCATCATCATCATCATCATCATGGAAATAACCTTTTTATCTGATGCTATGCAATATTTTAAGGAGGAAATGCTATTCCCTATTCTACTACAAGTCCGCTTTATATCACACAACATTCATTTCAAGCCAACATTATATCACATAGCATTTACTTCATTTAGAACTAAGATTAAGAGGAGCAACAATACAAATGGATAATAGGACAAGTCTAATAATTGCCTTTAAATTGAACAGGAATTGAATAAAAAGACACTGATTTCTTACATACCTGCAGGGTGGCAAAAACATGGAGTCTTTCATTAGCACGGACCCAGAAAGAAGAATATACCAGCATCTTGCAATAGTGTCTGAGCTACAGAAAAGAGCAACACAAGGTAAAGTGTACCGTCTATTAAGTATTCCTAACCAGATGTTTCCTATTCACTTTCCTATCATGGTCTGCCTCACACTGAGAAAATATTTTCAAATATATAAGAATTATGCCATCTGTCAAAGGTGCTTTGATTCAATGTTCCTGCATAGCAGAAGGTTTGACTGGATGGCCCTTCTGGTCTCTTCCAGCTTTATGATTCTAAGTAGCAGGAAAGCCCTTCAAACATTTGAATTCCCTCCCACAGTCTCAAATTGCTAACTTTGTGGACACTGTCTTTTTCAAACCACGATTTGATTAATACATAAAGGAAAAATTCATGAATTTTAAATATCTCAGTGTTAACCTTTTCATAGAAACTTAGGTCCAGTGTTCATGTTCCGTCATTATTTTTCTAATGGGTGAGTGAATGGCACGTTATTTGTACACATCAACTACAATTGTTTTTCTCTTTCTCTTCCTTTTGTATAAGCTTTCTGCAAGCAAAGTCAACAGCTTTCAGACCAAACAACACTATTTTGGGTATCCATCATGTTTTCTGGGATTATTGTTCAATGAACAGCAGTGAGATAATTCAACAGTGGCTATGAAGCAAATCAAAAAGTTCTCATCTTCAACCCCACCTCTGAAATAGCTGCCTTCAGTTCCTGCTAATAGGCTACAACAAATAAGCATTTACCTTATGGAGTTGGCAAAAGGTGCTACACAGATATTATTATTTGTAAATTACTGTACAGAAAAGGGGACATGACCTAGCCTACCAGCTGCATAAAATGTGCCACATGGCCTTTGTACATAGATATTTTCATTGCCATTTTGAATCTCTATACACCAAGGCACAGGTAAAAGACTGAATTCTGCATGTATCATTCTGGATATGAATATTTATTTGTATTATTTGTTGTCTTGAAAATCAATAACAAACTGCTGGGATAGAGTGTATAAGATGGAATCTCTGCAGAAATACTGGATTTCAGATGTTTTAGAAGTTGGTCTGTGTAACTAACCAACACGTTTCTCCATTCTAATACAAGAAACAATGATGTGTTATCATTGTTAACTGCTTTAATAAAGTATAATATTTTAACTGAATGCAAACTACTGGATGAAACAGTAGCCGGAGAACAGGACACTTGTAAAATGTGGAGGAAGGGAATAAATACAATTTCATTGAGTATTGTACATAGAAAAGCTAACAGAAAAAAAAATCATCTTGAAAAGTTGCAGGAATAAAACTTTTCTTCCTTATGCCCTACTTATAGTAAATCTCCAGACATTCAAAATACCATAAAATTGTATTCTTTAGTTAACACTTCAACAAAAGTAGTGCTTGCGCACTACTAATCCCAGGAGTACTGGCATTTCCATATTGTATCAAGACAATAGGGTAATAAGAATGACTTTGCATAAAAGATGCTTCATGCCACTACCCTAACTGTATTGACTATGAAAGCACATCTTTTTGGACTGAAAGTGTATTGATATAATATGTTCAGAAAATCTAAATCAACACTGATTTTTCTCTTCTTAGATATCTTATGTTTTTAGTTCAAATAAGGTTAACATGTACTTACCAAAATAGAACTTGATTTCCATCATACCTTTTATAACGTGCACTGGAAGTCATAATTCTGAGAAGAAAAATCAGTATCACTAAATGCGTTTATTTCACAATAGAGAACTACACACAATTGATTATGACACTCCTCTAATACAATAGCAATTATCAGAGGAGACACAAATCAATATTCTTACTTTAAAGATGAGAGGCAATGTTTGAAAACAGTCCTAACACAAATGAGAACTCAGGTCTCCTCCAAATGAATCCAGTACACAGAATCTGGGATAATCTTCACTTTACACAACATTTTGTAATCATTCAACCTATCCACATACCCAATTATTTTTCTATAAAGGATCACACAAGTGCACAAAAAACCTATCCAGATGTGTAAAATAGTTACACGTTTTGATTTTATAAAAAACGTAATTTTCCAAAAATATTTATCTTAAAAGTATCCAGAGCAAATAGCAAGGAATACTAACTCCTAAACACAGAGGACTAAAACAAACTTGGCAGTGAACACTTATACAAGAAACACTGATTCTACTCAGTCAGTTTTAATCATTGATTTTAAACTCATATCTTGTGTTTCAATCTTTGTTCTGTGTTTTTAATATGTCTGTTTTATTGAATGTTTGCAATGATTATGTGACATGCCTCCATGTTTTCTTTGTTGAGCCTCAGTTCCTTTATTTAGGAAACGAAGTTTAAGACTTGGAGAAACAAGTTTGAAGTATTGAGGAATCAAGTCTATAGTTTGAAGAAGAAGAGAGACTCAAACAGGTGTTGACAGAAGTAAAATCCAGATAAGGACACAAAAAAGAGCATCTCTTTGGAAGAAATCAACAGGAACACAGTTAAGTTCTAAATTCTCATTTATTCCATCAAATAATCATTTGTTGGTCAGACCCTGGCAAGAGTTAGGATGCAGATCTTCAATACAATTAAATTCCTTTTTGTTTACTGATACACCTTTTGTTGTGAGTTTGTGTTCTTGCTGAGAAAATGGTTCTAAATTCTCATTTATTCCATCAAATAATTGTTTGTTGGTCAGTCCCTGGCAAGAGTTAGGATGCAGATCTTCAATACAATTAAATTCCTTTTTGTTTACTGATACACCTTTTGTTTTGAGTTTCTGTTCTTGCTGAGAAAAGGGCTTGGAAGAAATCAAAGTGTGTGCCAGTTGGCGAGAGAAGGTGCAATGTGACAACAACAATCCCAAAGCTTCCCCAGCCAGCCCTAGAGGAGCCCCCGGTGGCGCAGTGGGTTAAAGCCCTGTGCTGGCAGGACTGAAGACCAACAGGTCGCAGGTTCGAATCCTCTATCGGCTCCATCTCCTCATGCGGGGACAAGACAGAAGCCTCCCACAAGGATGACAAAACATCAAAAAATCATCCGGGCGTCCCCTGGGCAACGTCCTTGCAGATGGCCAATTCTCTCACAACAGGAGCGGTTGCTCCTGACACGACAAAAAAAAAAAAAAAAAAGCCAGCCCTAGTTCTGCCACAACAGCATGTGCTGCCAGGAATGCTAAGAAAGAGGAGTACATCACTGCCTTAGAGGTGCCCCTCTCCACCTTCAGGGAAAGGCAAGGCATGCAGAACAGAAGAAAGGGGAAAGAAAGGACAGCAGAATGAGAGGGATAGTGATTTAGAGACAGTTCTCCTCTGTTGCAATTAGGCACATATCCACATACATTTCTCCAATAATGAATCATTCAACAATTGAAAAGTTTTGGTCAATATGTACGTTCTTTGGGCAAAAGAAAAAAATACACAAAATTAGATAATTATTTTGAATGGTAGTACCACACGTCATTTGGTTCTATCCTAAAAGAGTTTAAAATACAAATATTAAAATTCTTTTAAAATATATAATTGCACTTCATACCTCAAATTCTTTAAAAAGAAATAATTGCACTTCATACCTCAAATTCTATAAAGAATAGACTTCCACCAGAACAGACATCATCTACACAAATCTACTTGCTCTTACCTTAACTGATGCTCCCTGAGATGAGACAATATGTCCATTCCATGAAGATAGTAATAGATAGTATTTAATTCCTGAAAAACAAAATATAAAATATCAATTTTAATTTTAAAAAATTCAGACAGAGAACCTTTTCAGCCTGCATAATTATAGATCTATTATTGCATCTTCTGTGCCTCAGCTGTGTTCTATGGAATCCTATGGTTTTAAAGTTAGGGAACAATACTTAAGACTTCTCATCTAAAGAACGCTACTGCATCACCAAATAAGCTCCTATAGGACGTAGACATGGTGGATACAGTGCATTCATAGTGCTATACTGTGTAGTGTGAAAGATCCCAGTGTGTCAGTCTATAAACAAGACAGAAGGTGTGATAGTTGTGCCCAGGTATCAGGTTCGAACTGATATTAGTGTCTCTCTGAAGAAGAGTGAATTCTTCTTCAGGGCAACTCTGATAATTTGGAACCGATACTTGAACACTGCTTTAAAATGTAGTGGTTCCATTAGAACAAACTTTTGTATATAGGGAGATTAATTTGTTCCTTTCCCTTTCCAACTACTACATTCCAACTTTATTGTCATTCATAATTCGAATCTGAAATGCTCATGAGTAACTTAGAGCAATCATAATTGCTCAGCTCTCTCATGAGATCCTATAAAAAGTAATAAATGGTAAGGGCACTGGAAGATGGACAAAATAAAAAATGTAGGCTGGGATACAAGATTATAAGCAAGGAACATAATAATGCTACATAATAAACTTAAGTTAGCTATCAGTCATTAAATGAAAGTTCTGCTTAAAATGCCATTTACCTAGAGATTATACTACCAACTGTCAAAGGTTAATTATGTTTGTTGCATGGTTTAGAAGCCTAATGATAAATACCTAAGCATCTTTATCTTAATAGTGATCCATTCTGTATTTGCTTCTACTGACACCCATGAACTTCAAATCAAATAAAAACAGGTAACTTTATTTGTTTGGCAAAACAAAGCAAGGTATCACCAGCTGTTGTCCAGAAACCACTCTACTAGGCTGAGACATGAGGGATAGGGAAAGAAGGCTGCCAATTGCCTCAAGTTCTCTAGCTTGTCAATGCAGAAAAATATAATTTCTCTCTACCAAAGTGATTCGTAGCAATTAAAAATGAGAGTGAGCAAGATGAAAAGATAGAGAGGCCATTGCTACTTTTGCTTGGATAGGGCAATTGACTAAGTAAAGAGTTGAAAAACAAAACAAACCATATAATGAAACTCAAAGTAAAGTCTGCTTGCGTCATAGGCACTCTGCCCAACACCATTACTTAAGGAGACATGAATACATGCAATTGTATGGTGCCAGGAAAGAAAAAATATTAATTCCCTTTAGGCACATTGTAATGTATATGTTTGTACTTTTTGATATGCTTTCATTTTAAGAATCTTTTGAGATTTTCTAAGGGCAATTTTTTTGTTATTCAATACATGTAAAAAGGTAAAGGTAGTCCCTTGACTTTAAGTCCAGTCATGTCTGACTCTGGGGTGTGGTGCTCATCTCCATTTCTAAGCCGAAGAGCCAGCGTTGTCCGTAGACACCTCCAAGGTCATGTGGCCAGCATGACTGCATGGAGCGCCGTTACCTTCCCGCCGGAGCGGTACCTATTGATCTACTCACATTTGCATGTTTTCGAACTGCTAGGTTGGCAGAAGCTAGGGCTGACAGCGATTCCGCTCCCCGGAATCGAACCTGCGACCTTTCGATCAACAAGCTCAGCAGCTCAGTGCTTTAACCCACTGCGCCACAGGGGGCTCCTTTCAATACATGTATTATACATAAATTTCATTATGTAGACTGCATGCAACTCCTTAGTTTGTAGTCTACATAAATTTCATTATGCAGATTGCATATAACTCCTTGCCTACTTAGTTATTTGCTGCATCTAGCTAAGCAAATGAGGCAAACAACTCTTAGGATTGGTAAAGGACTGTTTTCAGTCATATAATCCAGCCTGTCTTTTAAGAGGAATTCTGCAGACATACAAGAACTACATCATTCATATTTCCAGGGAAGCACAAAGTCTTCTTGTGAAAGGTTGTGCATGTCTTTTTTTAAAATAGCAATTTGCTTTTAATAAAAAAGACTCCTTTTGGGCAAGCAATATTAAAAAGTGTCTTCTATTCCACAGAAGTATCACAGACATTGATACAAATTAATTATTGAAACATTTATATTGCACCTACTTTGGCAGGAGTAGGCAATCGAGGAAGGCTAGGGAGCTCCATTAACCCTACAGGAGATTTTGGACAGCTTCACCTGACCCACACCCTTTGGGCATTTGGAGGGCAAAAATATATTTTGACTCAATGGCTATTGGTCTAAATGACTTGCCAGACTGTGCCCACCCCTGCTCTCAATATGACATCTCAGGACAGCATGTAATTAAAAGAATATAAAGTAATGCCAGAAAAATACAGAATAAGCAGGATCAAAGGATATTACATAATCACCAGGTTAAAAAGCAGAAAAAGGCTAAAACAATTAAAGTCTTACAAATGTTGTTATAATTTTATGTGACTTGTTTTATACTTATGTATCTTTTTTTTCTGTTATATGTTATATATGCATCCTGGAGTGTCTTTGTAAGTGCCTCGAGTCCCTTCAGAGAGATGGTGGCAGGATATAAATCAACTGGTGAAGACATATGAGAAAGATTTCTCACTTTTGAAACTCCCTTTCTTCCTATTCTGATGGCAACTATTCTTTTATTTAGAAAGGCTTTGGATTGTTTATGAGTTCTTGCAGAAGGGTGGTGTGAGGTCTAATTTTAATGGGAGTAGGGACTGCTGTACTTTTACTCTCATTGTTAATTTTAAGATTGTTTAAACTCGTTTTAATAGATAATGTAATAGATACTAGAGACAAAGTTGAAGTACTTTGGCCACATCATGAGGAGACAGCAAAGCCTGGAGAAGACAATGATGCTGGGGAAAGTGGAAGGCAAAAGGAAGAGGGGCCGACCAAGGGCAAGATGGATGGATGGCATCCTTGAAGTGACTGGACTGACCTTGAGGGAGCTGGGGGTGGTAACGGCCGACAGGGAGCTCTGGCGTGGGCTGGTCCATGAGGTCACGAAGAGTCGGAGACGACTGAACGAATGAACAACAACAAGTTATTCTAATAGTTATTAATTGTTTTTATCTATTCTGTTTTAGTCTATGGTGTGAGATATCTTAAGTCCCATGATGGGAGAAAGGGAGATTATGATGTTATAACCATCAAAAAAAAAAAATCGAGGTAAACATAATGTTAGCAAAACAATATTGAATCGTCAAGTAATGAGATCACCATTAAACTATATCTTATTCTGTTTCTCTTAACATTAAATATATTTATATATTTCTGCATAAACAATTTTGATAAATCAATTTAATAGCACAACATTATTCTATAGCAGTACTTTAGCAGCTGCTGAATGTTTCTTTTAAAATGTTTTTAAAAAACGGAGCTGAATATCTAACCTTTCTACTCAACTGAACTACAAGAACTGAAGTTTGTGTGAGCCATCTAGTGGAAAGAAAAAGTGACACACAACAATGCTTAAAATATACAGGCAGGCAATCCCCAAGTTACGAACAAAATAGGTTATGTAGGTTGTTTCTTCAATTGAATTTGCATGTAAGTCTGAGCAGGTACATTTTGAAGTGCTATAGCATAGGGAAAGGTGGATTTGGTTTTCCTGTCTGTGCCTCTGTTCAGAAGATTTTGTCTCACCTTCTGACCCTGTGATATATGTATTTTGAAAAATTTGGCTTGTTGTGGAAACAAGGATTGGTGGCAAAGCTTCAGGAGTAAATTTCCCTACCAAGGGGTCGATTTCTCTCACTTCCTGTTTGTAAGTCAGATATTTGTAACTTGAGGACTACCTGTTTTGATAACGAACAAAATGCTTTTTAAAAAAACACTCATAGTGGGGAAATTGGAGCCTTTTCCAGACATATGGATGATTTTTCCTATCACCTGAGTTGTACACACTCCACATGGAACCCCTATGGATCATGGGTAGATCTAAATGCCCACTATGTCCATAGGACTGCCTGTGGCTTGGACAAAACACCGGACTACTTAAGAAGAAAGCCTATACATATCTTAATTATATCTAATGGAATTCAACAAATACAGAAAAAATCCAAATCAGCAATATGATTTTTGGGCCAACTTCACAGTATAAAATACATTAAAATCACAGGCCTTCATTCTGTCTCAAATATTTTGAGTTAAGCTGGGACTGGGGGATTTTAAGGAAGACAGAAGCAATTCTTCTTACTAGCCATGTGAACACTTGAGACAAAAAAAACAACGAATGATAGGTAATCAAATTTCAACTCCCGTTAACAACAGAAAAGTATCTCCTCAAGATAATGGTGCCTTTGTCCTATAGGAAGATAAGCTATTGAATTGAAATACATCAACACCATCTTAACTGACTTTAATAGTATCACCATTTTTCTCCTGTGTGATTAGAAGCCAGTTGACCTTTGAAAGCTTGCATAGTTTTTTTATGATTTGGAGTTGGCTCAAAAAAGATATCACTGATTTATGGATTTTATTGTATTTTGCTGCTACCTCTGAATACTTTTTCCTGAATTTAGTAGAATCGCTTTTGAGTAAACCTGCAGAAGCCCGCACTGTTAGATGATTACCCAGGTTATGAAAGTGTGATGAAGCAGATGTGGTCTTCTCCAGACATAGTACACAATGCTAAGCAACCTGGCTTTTGTTTTGTGCCTGAATATGTTTATGACTTATGGCAATCACAGGTTTTCCTTTTCTCTGAGACTGAAAGAATATTATTTGCCCAGTACTATCCTCAGAACTTCTCCACCTTCACTTTTGGCTCAGTATCACTTGTATTGTACATGCACAATGGACATGTGTTCAGTTAGCTTGTTTTATTAACATTTTCGTACACCTATTGTATTGTCAAATTAGAGATTTCCTTTTAGCTTTATTCATCAAGAAAATGTATTGCCATTAAAATTATTACAATTATGACTGGAGACCCTATACTGGCTCAATCACTGCATTTGCTGGAT